CTATTCGAATATGAGTTATTGTCTCTCATGATGAATTGGAAACACTGTCAATGTAAACTCACTGATTCACCCATCCAGCTCAAATGGAGATACAGAATAGACCTGTTATTATGAGACAGAATGGAGGGAGTAGTTTTGTCTAATCCTAAAGCTACTGAAGGAGGAAGTACATTTTTCAAGTGTACATTTTCTCATTAACTAACTTGTCCGTGGGCTCCTCGTTCTTTCGCTTTGATTAATCCCGAGGGGACAGTTCTCATATTGGCAGCTGAAGCTCATCCAAATTTTTCGCCAACATCAACCGGGGATGGTTTGTTATAAAGTCTGGTGTCTGTCGATCATCTAAGGTTTTGTTTGCTTACAAGTTCTTTCAACCATATGAAGGCACAAATCGTATGAGCATCAATGGAGTAGAAAGCTGTAAAAGTACATTTTGGTGATGATTAAACTGTGCGAGACCAGTGCACATGAGCGAGACGTGTCTAAATCAAAATGCCTTTTAGACCGAGACGCTCTCAGAATCCCCCCCCCTCCTCCTATAATGACAATACTAGTCACCATCTGCAGTCTGATATCAGACAAGATGGAAATAATCTAATACATTTAAGTCCAAATGTAGGAATTGGGTTGTTTTTTGTAGACTGCAACATTTAAAATGAAAGAAACCAAAAATCAACCATGCACCTGACTTAACTAATAACCCACCTTTTTACCTTTGTGCGGTAATAAATTATTCCGCCAATTACGTTGCCATGACAATGGTACTAACACATATTGTGCGATGAATGTGTATTCGTATGGGTAATTTGGGAATGGAGAGATGAGAAGAACTTTGTGTCGATAACCACCCTGCATGTGAATAAATTAACCCTTACAAAAAGGAAATACCTGCATTAAATAAGACTCTGAGTTTGAGACACACGAGGACAAAGAATGGAGGAGGACTACTTTGAAAAAGAGAAACGGGTAGAACGGTCAAGATGTATTCCGTTGTCATTAGACTTAACAATTAAACACAAAAGCAATACATTTGAAAAACTCCCATTCAGCAAAAGCAACATGTAACAGGAAAGCCACAGGAAATAATGTGAGCACTGGAACAACAGGTTGAGGGGTCTTCGTGGTTTCACATGTTCCACCGTTGTGTGTGTGTGTGTGTGTGTGTGTGTGTGTGTGTGTGTGTGTGTGTGTGTGTGTGTGTGCGTGTGCGTGACCTGACACAGCACCACGGTTCCTGGGGATTTATAGACCAAACATTAAATTCAGAGAGCAGCAGTAAATCAAGCCGGACCAGCGCAGCCACGTCCCCTCCGGAGCGCTGCGCTGATCGTAAGTGTCCCTCCTTTAGTACGTATGTTCATTCCTTATACCCGGGCCAGAGAAATGTACTTTACTTTACTTACTGGAAGCCCACTGTGCGAGAGTATGTGTGTAATGGTGATAAAAGCAGAGAGCAAAACTGTGTGTGTGTGTGTGTGTGTGTGTGTGTGTGTGTGTGTGTGTGTGTGTGTGTCATTCGGCCAGTGTTTGTGATTATATGCTTGTCTTCATATATTGTGTGTTTGACCATGTGTGTGTGTGTGTGTGTGTTAATCTCTCCAGGGAAGGGATCAGGGGGCCAGTGTAGTTTGACCAAAGACACTCCGGGGCACCGGGGCCTGAATCAGGGGGTCCGGCTGAGCCTCAGTGGCTTCTGCTCCGTCTCTCCGACGGTTCCAACCCGCTCTGTCAGTCTCCAAACCAGTTATTAGTGTAGACTGTATTCTTTAATCGGATATCCAAGCCTTTCCATTCGTAGATGTGAGGAGATGTCGGCGCAAAAGGATTTTCTCGATGAAATTGATTCTGCTCTTCTCTTGACTAGCGATTTTGGGTATAGTCACAAAAGATATGTCAGAGTAGTTGACAGCCACTTATCAACCTACGGGTTGTCCTGGATTTGGTGTGAAGACAGCTGTTGGTGAGAAACAGAACCTAAATGCTAAACCCCCTCTGGATAGATGAGGGTTTAAAAATGAATAAATAACTCTGTGTAATGGAGCCCCCTCGCTTGCAGAAGCATTGACACGAGTTTGACCCTAATCAAATCATGGAGAAAAGTTTGACTCCGCTGCCGCTACACATCTGGACAGGTGTGTCTCAAGGGTCAACACGCCTGCAGAGATTTGCACATTCTCGATTTGGCCCGGCAGCTGTTCCGCTCCACTCTAGTTCCCAGCGTGCCATCGCCTTATTACGCTCCTATTAATGTAATATCATTAAGTCTCCTCCTGACCGTCTGGGTGCCGTAATTCACACCTGTATTGTGTCTTTCACCCCTTTTGGCAGGGTCAGATACCAGCCGAGTCCGGAGAGATGCACTGTGGGATCAAGAGGGTGAGACAAATTATTTGCTGGCCGATTGGAATATGTGGTGGAGAGAGGCTAAATTTGAGGAAGTGGTTTGGCCACGAGGGCATTTCCAGAATTTATTATCCATCCTGCATGTCCTAGATCACGTAGAATAATGGCCTC